CAGTGTCTTTTCCCCCATCTCTCCAAGGAATGAGTTAATTCTTCTTTACTTTCTTCAGTTCAGAGAAGAAGACTTCTTCATTAAAGAAGTCCTTTTCAGTCCTATGATTAAATTTACCTTTTTTCAACTCCAGTTTGGCATGCTCAGGCGTTATTTTACTGACTAAATGTAACTTTTCAAAAGAAATTTCTTGGCAGAGAACAGCCATTTACAATGCTCCCCTAACAAATGCAAAGATGTCAGTTAACTTTTCCCTCCATGTGTTGCAGCAGGGGAGATATTTTCCTTTGGAGGCTGGAGCTGGAAGGTAGCAGGCTGTACATTAATAACTGAGAGGGAAAATGTCCACGGAGGAGAAGGATGTCCATCAACCTAGACAGACTATTAATGTCAGCAACCAGCACAAGAAGGGCTATTACTACTTTAATAAAACCCAAAGATTATAAAAAAGTTTATGTTCAGTAATTTTCTGCTGCCTAAATCATTCTGGGTCCCTGGTAATTGTATTTCAGCGGTTTCTAGCATTCATTATTACCTGCAGAACTCCAGAGGTTTGCCATATTCATGCAGCCTCTTACTTAATTCCAAGCCATTGAGTAATGGTTTTACTATTACTGTACTTCTTTTCATTAACTTGCCCTTTTTATCATCATTTCTGCCAGACAGCTATTCAGCTGCAATTTGAATCATAAATAGGACCATTGCTTTCAGAACAACATTAGGCAGATAAATTTTCATGGAAAATTAGGGAAAGTACTAGATTCTACACCTGAGAGAAATAATGGACAGATTATAGACTGAGCAGACCACCTGCATTAAGCCTAAATACAAATGAGAAGTAAGTAAGTAAAATATGCTAAAGGAGTGTGGGGGAGTAACCAATCAGCTCACCTATGTGTGGCTGAAGCTTTGAAGAGAACAGCAGGAACGCACCAGGAATCCAAAACCACCTTCTGAGCAATGCCTGCTTTTAGATTACAAGTCAGAACACGATATTTGCTTTTCAGCAGCTGCCCTCAAACTGCTTGCTCACAGCAAAATGGTATTTAAGACTGCCAGCCCAACCAAAGCACAGCCTAAGGAACTACAGGCCTGAAGAGCATCAGAACATGTTTGATGGCCATAAACTGAGTTCACTGGGTTTGCTCACCTTACTTACCTTCCTGCTGTGGCAAACAGGTCAGATCCAATGCAGCTGTGCTTTAAATCATCCTATAAGGCTTCTACAGGCAACCTCAAAACACAGCTGGTTTGGATTGTGTTTCTTTCTTCCCTGTCTTTTTGTTTTCCCTCAGAATGTTAAATAGTTGGAGTTGGCCATGCGTGCTATTTACAGCATTTCAGCTCGCTGCACATTAGAGGTGGTTCCCAGGATTTATCTCTCTTTCAGCAGCACAGCAGCTGGAGAGTGACTTTTCCAGCACCTGTGGTTTCACCTTTCACCTCATCTGCTCTGCCTGGGGGCTGCCGAGTGAGAGGGGCATCCTCAAACAATCTGCTCCTCTTGTTTCCCCCTGCATCCCCACGGGGTGATTTGGATCAACGAGCTGATCTGATGGAAAGCTAATCCACAAAAGCAAAACACTGATTTCCATAAAGTCAGCTGGCAAGCAGCAGTGTGAGGGCACTGCTGGGCAGTGATTAGCAGATCCGGTGTAACCCAATCCCAAACCTGGTGGGAGAGCAGACCATCCTTCTGCTGTCACTTGTGCAGGCACTATCACAGCGAAGTGCTGAATCTACAGGAGATGTATTGCACTAGAAAACACATTTTGGGATTACCACCCTGCTTTTTCTTTGATGCAGTTTTTGTTTGTGAAAAAGTGCTGTGCAGGAGGATTTTACTCACTTTAAATAAATTAAAATGAAATAATAATAATAGTACAATAACAATACGACCTCCTGAACAACCATGCTCTGTATTGGCAGGGAAGTAAGAGACCTTGTACTTTGAGAACTGTTTTAAGTCATCTGTTGTACTTCTCGTCCGGCTTTCAAATATTCCCACCGCCTCTTGCAAAAGGAAAAACTAAGTGCAGCTGGCAGGTATAAAGCCAGTATTTTCCAAAGTTAAATGAACACCATCAGAAAAGGAAGAAATATTTTCTAATGGTGAATCCAAAGTGGAAAGTCTGGGATGGGAAACTGGAAAATACAGGAAGTGACTTGTAGGAAACTAACTGGGTTCATGTGTGTAGTGCACTCAAGGATGGTGGTGAGGAACATTCTGTTTTGATTTATGAATTGGGGTCAGAGTGAGAGTGGAAATATATTCTTGCATCACCAAAACATAAAGCAATGAGCACTTACACCCTCTAGATAAAATTAGCATCTCTGTCATCACATTCATGCATAAACATACTTTCAATTAATGTCTCCTAAACAAAAGGAAATTAGTCCCACTGATTGCAAAGCGAGCCCATGGAGTTCTGACTTTTAAATGTCTTAAGAAGACTTGAAGGCTTACACTCTATTAGCAAAACTGCACATTATTTCTAGTAGTGTTAGCTGTTCTTAATTGGAAATTTTCTTCAGATAGCAATAATTATGGCTTGTAAATTTCAGAATTCGTACAAATATCAGCTGGTTTGCAGAAAATTCAGTGGTTCCATAGACTGAATTTTGGCTTCTACAGTATAAAGAAAATTTTATTTCAGGACCCAGAAACAAAATGCAATGCTTAAAAAAAAAATTGCTTTAAGAGAAAACTAGGGTACCTGACTTTACTGTAATTGAGCAGATTTTCCTGTTTGAGAGAAGCATTGCTTTTAGCCTGAGAACTTCAGATTTGGATCATGCCTGAGCTGCAGGTACAGAGGTTTCTGTTGCATTCTCCTACCCTGATTTCCTTACTAACGACACTGGGCATCTAATCCATGTTCTGTCCGTCACCTGCTTTGAAAACCACTAAATAATCTGATGGTATTTGACAAAAAATTATTTCAAAATTTTCTAGATTCCAACAGGCAATCTGGAGGCTACGTGGCCGGGCCATGCCAAGTCTTGAGCATTACCTGGTCCCCCAGGAACTGAGCCACAGCGCTTGAGTTGTCCAGCAAGTCAGGAGCGGTGACAAACCTATAAACTGCTGGAACAGCACATGACTTAGGAACAGGGAGGAGATGGATGGAGACCGAAGATGTTCTGGCATGGGCGAGGGCAGGAAATGTCAGAAGAAAGGACGAAATTGTGTGGTGGCCAGAAAGTCAAGGCCACAGGAAATCAGTCTTCTTACATCTGCTGTTCATGAGAAAAATTTACAAATGCTTTTCATAGGCCTGTCTTATTCACCTGCTTTAAGCATCAAGGGATAACATTAAGGTAAGTGCCTATTTGTTTCACTGGGTTGCTACACGAAAACCAGGGAAAACAAATGCTTGCTGAAAGCACAGCAACATGCTGCAATTGAGCACCAGCATTTACTGCTCTAGCTCTACAGGGCTCTACAGCAGCCAAACCACGGCAGCACTGCGCATCCACTGCCCGTCCAAACACTTGCCAAGATAGTAGCAGTCCTCTATTGCATTTTCTCAGCCTCCACAGCGCTTTTGAAGTTGTCACCCCAGTCAAACTCAGCACGCAAGCAGAGGGAGTTCTCTGGGGCTCAGAACTGTGTGTAAATGTCTGGCCATGCCCTTCTAACAAAGGCTGAAGAACCCCATTGCCTTTGTACTCAACAAGGTGGTGCCTTCCCCACGTGTCTCCAGCTCAAGTATTAGCTCTCCTTATCTTCTGTGTCCACTCCTCTCCAAGTTAACTCTATTACCCCACCAAGTTCTGTCATCCTGCAAATGCTGGCAAAAAGCATTTGTTACGCTGACTTTATTACAAATCAAGAAAAAGGAAGCAAGACCGTAAGAAGGGTTTTGCCCCTTCCACTCCTCACCCTCCCCAGTTCACCCTGGAAAAGCATGTATAATTCTGTACACAGAATGCTTTTCCAGACTCAGCTAAGTCACTACTCAAAATCTCCTTCCTAGCCTAGAAAATGAAGTCCTTCACACAATTTTTAGAGATTTATGCAAAACCTAGCTCTTTGTGAAGGAGCACCCAGCCGTAAATACTGCATGAGGTCTCCAGGTAGTTTAGAATGAAGGTGACCTCTGCTGTGACAAAACTAATCCATTGTAAGAAATCATCAGCAGAAAGTATTCACGTGCCTCTGGAAGAAATTACACTTCTGTGCTTCAAGCACAAAAGGGAAAAGCTTCAGCTGGAGCAAAAGATCAGGAGGGCAAGCTGGCTGTAAACACCTTAATGAAGTGCATGTTTGCATTCCCTTATGCTGCACATCAACAGCTGAACCTTTTCAATAGTGAATACAATCTTAAATCAAAGCCAAGCGGTCAAAGTACAATTGCTGGTCTTCAGCAGGTGTGGGTGAGGCAGAGGCACACCTTGTGGTACAACATGACCCACAGCTACTGCTGTGTGGGGCTTCAAGAACAAAGCTGGCACAGTCTTGTGACGTTCATGGGTTTTTAATGTGTGATTTCTACTAGTGCTGCTTTGACCAGGGGCTAGCAATTTGTAGTGTCTTGAAAAAAAGTGTAATTTAAAAATCTGTACTCCACAGCTTACTGTGGCCACCTCAGTCCATCTCAAATGCACATCTAGTTTGAGAAACACTCCCCTGTGGCAATTTCAAGTGGCTTAGTGTAACAATGCATGAATAAATTTCACCCTGGACATGGGGGAAGTATATTGCTAAGACAGAAACACACTTTAATAACCCCCTGAATACAGACACTCAGCAGACAATTTCTAGATCACCTTTAACTTCCCACAGCCATCCTACTTCATTGTGCTGCACTGTCCTCTCTCCTGCACTGGTGGCATCAGAAGTACAGCCAGATCAAAACTGGACAGCTTCCCCCTAACAGTCTGTAAAAATCGGGATATAACCTGAAAAGCCTTGCCACTGCAGATTGTCAAGTCTGCTGTGATTTAGTGCATCACTTGCAAAGTGGACCTTAAACATACATTCTTATTTCAGGATGAATAATTCAAAGTATATTTTATTGACACTGTTCAAACAGCTTGGAGAGAAGAAACAGTATTTAAAAAAAAGAAGGAGAAAAGAAGACAAAAACCTGTAAAACTGCTAGCTTGCATTCAGTGTTAGAACTTGGAGGTATAAACAAAAGCCTGGAGTAAAAATATGAAGTATATTTCCAATCCTTCAGTGCAGAAAACCAGCAACAATGGTATTTACTCTACATTAGAAGTGTTCCCATGTTCAAATCCAGATATATACTTCTCTTCTATATATATTTTTGATAACTTATGTACAAATAAGATGTCCAACATCTGTTCTTTAATACAAATATGTAATCTTCATGACTGAAACATTACAACAGTTTGATCAAAAGTATAGAAAATCATTGTAACCTTTTTTTTATGGCAGTGTTTAAAAAACTCCACCCTTGAACCCAAATGACCTTAGAAGGACAAGTATTTCTTCACCGTAAAAATACACTGCTCATTCAACATGCAAAGTATTATTGCATACATGAGTCACATGAATTACAATTAAGCCTGAAGGAAATGTGCTGTAGAGCCCATTCCAGCAAGTGCTAGCTGTAAATATCACAGAAGAAAGCAAAGTACTACTCTATTTTTAAATAAAACACTACAAACTCAAGTATTGTCCTCGCACTAAGACTTTAAGGCAATTAAGAGCTGGAAAGCTTCAGTCTGGCATAGCTGCATCAATCTCTCCCCTTTCCCAGTTATGAGAATTTGTTTTCAGAGGGCTGCTGATGAATTGTTGCTATATATTAATACAACTCAGTATGAAGTGATAAGTCAGTAACAAAAGTTTAATATCCCCAAGTTTCACCGAGCTGATCAAATTTAAGCAACAGTTTATCCACCAGCTAAGTTTTCCAGCATGGATTTCTAAATGGTTAGAGAACAGAAAAAATATTCAATGTGTAACCTCCCAGTGTAACTGATTTTAAAATTTGAATCCATTCTTGGGGTATTACAGAATTTAAGAGTTAAAAACAGATCTGACAGTCAAATAATATTCAGCTTTACAAAGGATAACTATTTGCAGTAAAAATTTGTATAAACATACACACAGTAGATCCAAGTCAACAGGCATTTCTTTATGGCTTCTTTCACTGAGGTACTGTTATAACATCCAGCAACAGGACACGAGTGTTCTATAAACACCACATTCATAAGCTGTACCACCAACTCATGGCAAGTGGTAACAGACTGCAAATCCTGCTTCCCTGCAGGACTACAGGAAAAGAGTCTTCCCTGCTATGTGGAGAGTCTCAGTGCAAGCTACAGAAAGCCTTAAAGGCAACTGGCATCAATGGGGGAAAGTTCCAATAAAAGTCTCCCTCTGCTTAAAAGGAGAAAAAATACTCATGGCAAATTGAAATCTCAATTTGTTAAAATTAAGAGCAAACATAAAATTCCAAGGCAGCAAGGGCACGTAGCACAGCAGCCATACATTAAGACTTGAAATGTGTCATTAAGCTCTTGCATCTGACCTTTGAGCTAAGGGCATGCACAGGCTCAGAGCAGCCAACCTGTGACCATGCCACCACACAGACCAACAGTGACAAAGGGGAAGGGGCAAGCACATGACTTCTGTTGATCCAACAGTAGACAGAAAACCCCTGGTGACCACAAGAGTATTCCTCAGCTGTTAAAAGCTGACTTGTGAGTGCACAGTTAGTTGCATCTTTCACTGTTTACATGTGGGGGGAATTTGCAAATCACAGTACTCCCAGTACTCTTAGCCTAAGGGGAAAGAGATGTTCTGTTAAGATAGCATGATTGTTGCTATATGCATTTATCATTCTACCTTCACAGCAGAAAGTATTCTTTTGCTGGCTTTTTTTTTTTTTTTTTTTTTTTTTTTAACAGACTGGCCATATTGTTACTACAGCCAAGACTCCCATTTTTATTACACCTGTGCTAAAAATATGGTTCTGCAATAAATATTGTTAGAGTGAAATGGAGGTTCAGAACATGCTCAGTTAATTACAGCAAGTAGCTCTTTCCAATCAAGGATTTTTAACCCCACAAACCCATTAAACAGTTTGCAGATGCCCAAGTTCCTTATATGAAGATACAGCACAACATTTAAAACTCAGTGCTTAACCACATACAATCCATACTGTAATCTATATACATGTTATAACATATCCCCACTTAGATCAACAAATTCATCATCCCTCTTGACCAAGTCATCTTCATCTTCCAAGTCTTTCCAGGTGCTAGTGGGTAAAGCTGGTTTGACAGACTGTCTCTGCAGTAAAGCAAATGGAAACAAGGATGACAAACGGGCAGAATTTCTCAGCATGGGAACAGAATGCACATCTCCAGAAACAGCCTGACTGTGTTCTTCATCCATTTTCACCTGCAGGCTTTGCACTTCCTCCATCAAGTCCAAAATCTTGGCAGCTGTAGCTATTGTTCCACCACCATGAAGCTGGGCCTCAGGAATCCATCGTAGGTAACGCTGTGCCCAGACTTTGATTTCGGGGCCGTCGATGCGTGGCAGCAGGAGACCGTGGTAGTCGACAGGTTTGCTATGCCAGCTATCATAAAACTCTCTTAAGCTATTAGGGGGCTCATCTGAAGAATTTATGAACTTGCCAATTCTTTTACCCAGAATGTTTTTAATTAAATGATCTGTTTCCTCCCTGAAAAATCCTCTCTTCGTGGAAGGCTTTGCCTGTGTCAGTGGCAAAGAAAGTTGCCGTTGATGCTTTAAGAGGAAAAAAAGACAAAATACTCAGATAAATGTTAATGGAGTGGGACTTCAGAAAGCAGTTTTAAGAGGAAGAAAAAAAAAGCTGTATTCAGGAATTTCTTGCAAGCAATAGTCACTTGACCTATATAGAAAAGCAGTGGCTGTGTTTAAATTGTAACTTTTCAATACATCAAGTACTTTACAAGGCATCCTGAGTGTAGCCAGCTTCCTTCCCTGCTAACCAAATGTAACACTGATAAAACAACTGTCTTTGAAAAAGCCAAACCCTTTGCTTACATTTAAGTATTGCCAGTGTCCATGTTTAGGTTAAGCTAGTTAGAAATCAGAGAGCACTTTATTTATAGGTTTTCATCCAGTGGTCCCTCACTGCATCTCAGATAAATGCTGTAGATCGTACTGGCAGTGTATCACATGAGAATGCTTTATACAACAAAAAAGTTAACCAATGAATTGCAATTGAAAGAGGCTACTCCAAAAACTTTTCCCTGAGTTTGTGCTATGTGCCAGTAATGAGGAGGTCCATCCATAATCCTCCATACTCCAGACAGTTTTTTTGCTCCTCCCACTCCAAGTCCACACACACACTCCAGTTACACTCAGAGAAAATTAGGCAGGCAATTACAAACCTCTGTATTTCAGTCAGGTACTCCGTGGAACAACTAAATGAACTCCCTTCAAACACATCATTGCAACTCACCTGAATATTAAATCTCATGACTTACCAACAGACTTGCATAGAAGTATGAAGAAAAATAATCCCTAACTTCACAGCTATGAACTATAAAACAGTTATCTACTGTGGTGCATGCAAACTGGGTTCTTAAGATCCAGGTGGGTCTGAGGTATACATGTATTTTGTCAATTAAAAAAGTCTGCACCAATACTTTCACTGTGAGGATATTTGAAATAACAGATGTGCAAAATATTTCTAGAATTAAAAAACCAGTTTAGCAGCACATATCTTACTTTGAACCGTGCAGTCTTCCGTTGACTTCTATCTGGTTTTGGTTTCTCTGCATAAAGAGGGTTGTTCAGGAAAGCCAGGGCCTTGGGGTCAAACTGCACAGACCAGTCCCACACAGTAAGGAATCTGAAAGGACCACTTTGTGTCTTGAGGCTTTCCCCACTCTGCCAAAACAAACAGGTCACATTTAATACTGCTAGAAGGGAATTCTGACCAAGTCAAGGTGAAATAAAAAATCTGGCTTTTCAGAAAAAAAAAAGACACAGAGTTGCAACAACACTCTTGCTTTCTATGTGTTCAATAACTGAAAACAACAGTGCAATCAGACTTTCACAGATGAAAAAAAAGTAAAATATTCTCAGAAAAAAAAGATATTTTGGAACTTGGGCAAGAGACAGACTTGTTTGGATTCCTCAAACACAGGGGGCACATTAGGATTCCAAACACCAAAAGTTGGAACTGCAGTCATGCAGTGCTACTGGTCTAGATTTTGTGATCAACAATTTATTTGTATGAAAGACAGCAATCTTCACTTTTTCCTTTAGTCTCAGTGCAGCCTTTCAGAGGATACTCCCTCTATAGTATATAGAGGATATACTATACTTGTATAGTATATTGTATATAGTATATACAATATACTATACAAGAATTTAATAGATAACTTATTCTGCCAGACAGCTGGATATTCCTTGCAGGTTAAGGAGCTCCAATTTCACTGAAGGGCATTAAACATGAAACTGCAGCTACAAATTACAGGTAATGTATTCCTTCTGTCATCATGAATTCCTAAGTCCTGAACTTGCCTCCCTATAGCCAAAATTGCACTTGTTCACCCTTCCAGGCAGTTCCATGAGTAAGGAAAAAGGTGCTGTTGGGAATTAGCTTTTTTTGGCTGTTCCTTATTTGTTGGTCAAACTCATTCCCCAAAACACTGCATCCACAAAATACCAAACCCTTACCTTATTAGTGTCTCTTTGATGTTGAGAGTTGAAGAAGAAAGTGCTAAAAATAGGCACATAGAGGCTGTCTGACAAGACAGTTAAGTAAGTTTCTGTGAACTCAAATGCTGGAGGATACTGTTGTACCAGCTGCCAAACACAATTTAGCAGGAGCAGAAAAACAGGAGCCTAAGTAAACAAAATATTTCATCAGTTTAAAAAAAAGTTAAAATTGTTCCACCATGCAAACTATTTATTTTATAGTATCAAGCGTCTCCAAACACAAATCTTAAGGCAACTACTGATTAACTACAGAACTGTTGCATGTACATTTGGCTGAAATTTGAAGAAGTATTATCTGAGCTATCCTTGGCCAATTATTGACAGAAGAGATAAGGATTTTCTACTCCGAATTTGAAACTTGCCACTACGAAGCCTTTTAAAGGTGGCAAAGCAAAACTAGTTTATAGCAATTCTTGATCAGAATTAGTCAGTTTACACCTATTACTTCCATTTGAATAGCAATCTGATCTAGTCCAAAAGCAAGACAGTAAAAAGTTGATCTCCAGATGTGACAAGAAGAGGCAATTAACTTATTTCTGTGGATGCTACTGCCATTTAACACGGTTTTCAGGGGCACAGGATACATGACTTTCAAAAGACTCCAAGACTGGGAAATTTTAAAGAGAATTTTAATTCTCTTTAATAATAAAGCCATTGCTGACCTCTAAACAGCAAAACCAGTGACACTGTACAAACATCAACCCATAAAACAAAACACAAGATCCTCAGAGCAACTGGAACTTCTGGACTAACAGGTAATTCCCTCATACTGAGTAAGCTTATAAATAGTAAGTAAGGAAAACAATTTTAAAAATCATACCTCCTCTTTCTCACTTTTGTGTAAGTGGTTACAGCGATCCAAAAAGCCATGTCCCCCAATCACCCACTCCTTCTGAATGAGGCTCTGAAACCCTGACTTTGTTCTGCTGTATGAATCCATCATCACTTGAACCAGACTCGAGATTACACAGCACAGATCAGTAGCACTCTCCTCTACAAAAGAGGACAGAAACTACATTTTACACTGAGCCATTCCTCAAACATTATGTAAGAAAGCAAAGCATTGCCATGTTCACATAAACAAAACTATTTCAGGATCAGAGCAGCACAGACATTTTCGCAAGTCAGAGAGAAGTTAATCCATGATTCCAAATTTAAGGTTACTTACATGCTTATCCTAGGAAAGTACTTTGACAACAAAACCTCCAAGCCCCAACCCTTACTACTATAAGTAGTGCCTTTCAGTCTCCCACAAGCACACACTGCCCCTCAGCCCAGCCATTTGTCCTCACCCTTCCTAACCTCCACACCTCTTTCCACAAGGTGTGAAACTGCCTCCTCATGCAACATACAATCCTTTCCAAAAGGTGCCTCGAGAAAACACCTCTTGCCTGTGCTAGGCTTCCCAAATGGCAATATGTGTGAAAAACTCAACTAAATTACCAATCCAGGAGTCACTTAATGGTTAACTTTTGGTTTGGTTTTACATGTGATTACTCAGTCTAGGAAAATAAACTGCTCAAAATGTTTACAGTAAGCATATAATTCCATGTATTTTTAATAAAGAGTCTGCAGAATATCCAACATGTGTCTAGAAGATATAAAGGTTATTTTTCAAAGTTTTCATATTACTGGTCCTTTGTGTAGATATGGTTCCCCTGCCCCTTAAAGTACAGCAAAGGGCCTAGGAGACCTTAAATAAAATAAACTTGGAAATAGGAATGTCTTCTATAGGCAAGACTCTCCTGCCAATTTATCAGAAGCTTTTTCATTCATACCCTGGAACTGTGCTTAATATGTTTTCTTTAACTACAGGAAGCATTTCCAGAAGTGTGGGACATTCAGGTGTCTTTACTTGAATTCTATATGAATTTTAGCAAGTCTCTACCATAATTATAAACTTACAGCTTATGCTACTTCAGAGTGAATTTAAACAAATCAATAATAGGACTATCTCATTAAATTCTTACCTATGAGGAGAACATTTGTATGCTGTATTTCCAGACACTCAGCAACTTCTATGGCTTTCTTCAAGACCCTCCTGTTTTGGTACAGGAAAAGTGGAGTAAAGTTTGTTATATTAGTTTCCCCTAGACAGTGTTAGAATGCTATACTTGAAACTTCACTAGTTCTTTAAAACTCAAAACCCATGCTCAGCTTGCGTAAACTAAGAACTGCTTAGCTTCAAGAACATTTTATTTGGCCATTAACCATGCATCTTCAATTGCTATGATACAATACTTCATTCTGGATCAACAGCAGCCATCACACACATTGCTAAGAACCAGCTCTTTATCCTGGAAAGAGTCAACATCACCATATTTATGTTCTAATGTACTACATTCTAGATTTCTTCCAAAATCTGATTTCAAGAGAGAGAGGGAAGGATGAGCAATCAGCTCTTATAAACACTCAGACAAAAGTAATACAGAGAACATTATTACACAAGGAAAAGTGAGTGGAATTACAGATCACATAAAACCAGATGTAACACTGTTGGTTTCTAGATCTAAATTTTCATGAAGTTAGTTATTCTTAGCACAAGTCTGCACACAAATTAGGATTCTTGCAATATCTTAGGTTACTATTGAAGCTGACAATTTGTTTCTTAAGTGTGGAGTTGTCAGATTCTTCTTTGTTCTACCATCTAGAACAAGTGACAAGGAATTCCTACTAACTACAAGAGCCAAGAACAGGCTGATCCAGGAACCAAAGGGATCCAAGTATGGAAATGACCAGTCTCAAAACAACCTAAAGACAGGAACCCAGCCTGGCATTTACTTTAACCTACTTGTGATCTTGGTTATGTCAATGAATTTCTCAACATATATATGGTCTTCACTAGAATCTTTCAATAAACACACACATTTAAATTCTGGATTAATGAGTTAATAACTATCAATATTTATTGATTGTTATTAAGACCAGAAGGGACTGGAGCTGACTGCAGAAGCACCCCATGGCAATTAGCTGGTTACAGAATAAACAGACAAAAGAGCTAGCAAAAAGTAACACTGAAAACAAAACTCCTCAACATTCCACTACAACAAGCCTTAAGTTAGCCAATGCCATTCCAACACTTACTCACTGTGGACTACTAAAAGAAGAAAAGAGAACTCAGGGAACAATCAGCACAGCAGGGGGACAAAACTGAGAAGAAATGTCCTTTTACAACTCTTTAGTGGCCGAACATCTTGAACACTGCACTTCATCTCATTCTAAAGGACATTCCAGAAGCAGAAAGTACAGAGAAGGATGGCAAGGCCCGTCAGAGACATAGAATAGTTTCACACAAGAAACAAACAGGATTCTTGAGTTTGGAAAGAAGGTGACAGTGCACGATGGAAATTACTGGATCTGTATTTTTAACTGGCTCTCTGGAAGAATTGTAATTGGAATGATCTGCTACTTCTCATATCCTTTAAAGTGGAAGGCTTAACACAAGTCTGCACTGTTAACAACACTGACTCAAGTTGCAGAAATAAGATATATAAATGGGACCATAAGCCTGCCTTAATTTTTTTTCCTACTGGCAGTAAAAAATTCAGTTTCAAGAAACTAGCTAGAAAACCCACTACAAATGCAATTACCAAAAATTTGAAACACAGAAAGCAGAAGATTTAGCAAACCTGATTATTTCTAGCCAGTTTGTGCTCTCCAGTAATGAAAACCATTTCACATCAGTTGCCCAGAAGTCTGTACTGTTATCTGCAAAAACAAGAGAAAAGCAAAAATTGGTTTGTTCACACATGCACAGTGATAATTAACAGCCATCCATTGAATTACTCTTCAGTTATGAACAGGTACAAAGCAACCAATACTAAGGAGTCAGCTAATCTCAATCACTGTTAAAGCTGACATCTTATAACTACATAAGGAAATGAAGTAGTTCTACAAACACCAGCAGAGTTTTATAGCAGCACAGCCTTTTAGAAAAGTTGAAGGCTCCTGACACTCAAATCAGGTAAATAAGTCTGTTGACAGAATGGAAAAGGAATAAAAATATTTAATCAGAGACGATCTACATAAAGCTTAACCTAAAGATGCTGGATTTTGAAAATCATTACCAACAGAGCCACAGACATCAATGGGTTTTAGAAGTAGGTTATAAAAACTTATGGCTTGTAAGACTGCCTCAAAGATGTTTTAAACAGTTTTTGCTGCAACTAAAAAAAGACATTAAAATATATAAACAGGAGGCAAAGTTCAATACCACTAAGTCATTGAATGCCTATGAATTTCACTAGGACTTCTTTTGTATGTTTTTTTAAATGCCACCTAAGTGTCCATTGCTTTTATTTCTATCAAAGGCAGCCAAAAAATATTGGAAAGCTTTTACAACCTGATATAGTAAATTAAAACCAGAATAGATTAGATTTCCTGCATGAGACCAACCTTGAAGCACAAGGCCCACAACGGTTCTACTAGTGAGAAACCAGACACACAAAATTCCCTCCTCCCCCCCCTTTCCACAACAGCTTCAGTTCCACATTTTTCTGTGTAACTGCCCACCTCCCAGAGTCTCTCCAAACACTTCCAGTGTTCAATTCCAGCACGTTCACACACTTCTGTCTCTGCTGCATCTTGCACCTATGCCTCAAAGGCACAGGCATAGACGAGTTATTCCTGTAGCTGTGCTGCCTCCATGCCTCTGTACCTCATCCTGTTCATTACACAATTTAAATTCCTCTCCCAATTTCTTTCACCATAGAAACTAGTTCTCTACAAAAGTATTAGAATTCATCTTCAAAGCTCTGTCCCATTAGACATAGTTTTCACTATCACATATAGTGATAGTGACATAGTTCAACACCCTCACAGTAAAGCATTTTTTCCTAATACCTGATCTAAAAGCTGCCCACTTTCCCCTGTCCTTTCATTTCATGGTCTCATCTAAAGTCCCTCTCTAGTTCTCTCGTAGTCACTCTAGGCACTGGAAGGTTCCTTAAGGTCTCCCTGGAGCTTCTCTTCCCCAGGCTGAACGATGCTAATTCCATCAGCCTTTCCTCACAGCCAGGGTGCTCCATCCCTCTGATCATCCTGGTGCCCTCCTCTGAGCTGACTCCAGCAGGTCCCTGTCCCTCCTGTGCTGGGAGCCCAGCTCTGGATGCAGTGCTCCAGGTGGGTCTCAGCAGAGCAGAGCAGAGGGGCAGAATCCCCTCCCTGCCCTGCTGCCCACGGGGCTCTGGATGCAGCCCAGGACACGTTTGGCTCTCTGGGCTGGCAGTGCCATGGCCGGGACAAGTTGCCTATACCATATTAACTAGGCACGTACAGGAGAAAAGTAATGGTTAATGTGTTCAGACTACTGCAAAGTACTTCTGCAAAAGTTTTTCTCAGACAAAGTGCATAGTGCTATACTCAGTGGGGTACTAACCAACTTTATTTTAAAAACTGCAAGAACAAACGCTTACTAGATGGCAGTTTCAACACATTCCCTTTTGCATGAATATAAGAATGATACAATTACATCACTGAAATACACAGTATTTCATGACAGAAGTTAAATGACTTAAATTCAAGCTTAGGCTTTTTTCCTACAGAGGGTGAGTTACCAGAAATCACACAAAAAGGTAATTGTTTTTAGCTCTTAAGATTCACTGCTGATTTTACAGTGTATTCTAGAGAAAATCTTCAGTGTGAAACTCAAATACCTCATATTAGAAGTGGAGTGGAGCTTTTTTCATCTCAAGAGGTGAGGTCAAAGTGTTTCATGACAGCAAAATAGTTGAAAAGTCTCAGAAGAAAAGTCTGAAAGCCTAGATCATACTTTTACATGCCTCCCATTTGATTGCTTTCTAAAGGACAGAATACAAGCAGCTTCATACGATTTGAGTTTGACTAGTGTGTAACAAAACCAAGGGCAAAAATTAATTAGCAGTCTCTACTCCTGACAGAGCCAAAGGCTAAAAGTTTGGCCACAGAAGACTGAAAATCTTCCCCACAAACTTCATTCCAGTTAGTGTAATCCAACTAACACTTGAGACTCCACTCCTTCAAAAGCAGTTTTCGGATACTGTGACAGCTTAGCAAGAGGTGGTTAAGTCAAAGAACTACGAACCTTCATTCACATCCCAGACATAAGCACAGTCTTCAGTTACATATTTTAAAATCTGCTTTTAACCACCCTCAAAATCAAGACACCAATGAAGAAAATTACTGCACTCAGGAGTCACAGCACATCATTGTTATGCTTTGCTTTAAAGTCTGACTTACCTATCAAAAACAGCTGTTTAAATCTTGTGTATGCAGTCTGGATATCTTGCAGAGATGGAAGGCTGCTTGACAAGTCATCCATCTTCAGGAGCTCATAGGGAGGTTTGCTAATTGTCTTATAGATTCTAAATCAAACCATCAAGAGATTAAAGCCTTCTGCTTCACAAGTCAAATAATGCATCAACTATTATCTGAAGACAAAGTTAATAGGCATTAACAGAATTGTCAGAGAGCTGTAATACCAGAAGATAGACACTCTGGAAAGCTATTGACCTCCATGCATTTCTAAGTAATGTTTGGAAGTTTGCCCACAGGCTTATAACAAGATTTGGTGCTTTTAACCATGGCACCAACAAAATTATACTCGTGTCTATTTGTGCAGTTATGAATATTACAAGCATTACTTGATTTTTACTACTGTTTCTTTAGTATTTTCTTCACTAGACACACCAAAATCACTTTACTAGAAGGCTGCTAGAGCTGTATCCTGAAAGAAGAGATAGATAGAAACACCCAAAACTCCCAGCAGAAGATTACAATTTCTCTTGACTTTTGCCAACCAGATTCTGATACCTAGCTGCTAGGTCTTCTAACAAAACACACAAGTAAAGGAAATTATTTGGATCCAAACAAGACAATGTATCTTGCACTTCCCTATATATCTACCGATTTTTTTCTCTTGAAGGAGAGGAAAAAACTAGGCTAGATGATGCTTTGGCTTGGACCCAGAGCATTCCCACGCATTCAGGTTCCAGAGCTCAGATGAACGTCAATGTAGTAACTACCTCTGCTGTCACACTGGCCTCTTTATTATCAACACCTGGGAAAAGTTGCTCTAGCTCATACTTCAAAAGTGAGGTCTTGTGGGCAGTTTTCCAGGCAGGGCAGAGTGCTTTGCTTCCTGCAGGCTGTAGCACAGAAACTTGCTTTAGGTGAGAACTACAGGAGACCACATCAGAAACATGGGTTACCAGACCTACTGGAAAATGCATCAGATCAGAGAAGTGAGGGAGAGCAATTGCTGGCTAAATACAGTACTTCTTCTAAACGACACAGCAAAGAACTTATACTGCAAGATCAGGCCCTGAACAGCTTTTTTTAAAAGATAGACTGCTAATTGTAAACATCTGCTCTGTGCCTGAGTTCAGACTATTACTATAATGGCACTTGAACACACCCCGATGGCCAATTTGTAGATGTATTTGAGACTCCAGTGATTAAACACCAGTACTGCACAGCAAAGAAATCCAGCAATACTGCCCCAAGTTCAAATGGCCACAGAGAATGGATCAATATAGGAGAAGATACCTTGTTACAGCTTACTGCTAGTTTTATTTACTTTCACATCATGAAATAGCATTAAAGACAGTTCTAAGCCATCTAATCTTTCCCATTTCAGGGTAAAAGTATTAGAGAACCTGCAGGAAGGGCCACAACTCTTTCCTATGCAAGTATAATTAATTTTATAAACAAAAGCAGTTTTAAGAGCCCAGGCAAGCTGTTTTCTGTTTGTTCTGTGTGATTAACAGGTCTCCATCTATGAGGAGCAAGGAGCCAATGTTCAGTGTAGAGATTGTACATATGAGTCTGATCTAATAGGTGGCTGCTGAGAGAGAAGTTCAGTCTAGGACAAACAGCAGTTAAAAAAAAAAGTGCCAAAATTAAAGGACAAAAAGTCATTGCCATAACAGTCAGACAGCTGTGCTCCTCCCCTTAAGTTAAACTTGTCATTTTTCAAACTGCTGAACTAATTCAGTTCACTATCCCATCTGAAGAAGTGCTGTCTGCCTTCACATCTGAAAGCTGCAGTAGTGAATTGCTCAGCCTGCCTCAAACATTTTAGGACACTTATCTCAAGTTAATTAAGAACATGAACCTAGCTCTCAGAAAGTGGCAGATTCTTAAAAACTCAGTTTGCAAATGCACATTTAGAGACGGAGTCTACATTTCTCTTACTTGCAAAACAATTAAGCCATTAACCCTACAGGCTTTGCTGCTGCTTTACCTACAAAACACACCATAGGTAGTACATATTCCTCAGAAACAGATGTGTATGCAGCTCCACAGAAAAAAGCCTTGGGTGAAGTTCCAACCCTGCACAAGTAACCAATGCCACTGGGTCAAGGGCTTAAACACATTCCACTACAGCAAACTACTTTCATATACAGAACTTGTTTCCTGATGTGTGAAAGCTTAAAAGATATAGCATATATGGAAAAAGAGAAGCAAGGTCCATACCAAGCAAAGTGTTGTGGACAGAATAGCTATTACTGACCCATCCAAGAAGGCTTTTTGCATTTGTGAAGTGCTGTCATCCTGTTCTTTGGGAAATGAGGACATTTTGAGAAGAGCAGCACCGTTATGGCAAGACCAACACCAAATCTGCAGAAAGACATTTACCAGGTGAGAAAAAACTAGTAAATTGTCCTATACCATGTATTTGCTCAAGTGACTGAGTGATTTCAAATTTTCTCTCTGCTTTTGCTTAATTGAATTTTTAGTGTATTTAATAGAAGCAAACATCAACAGAAGCAAAATCCTACACCTGCGCCAAAAATACATGCCTGAGTACACTATATTACCACTTTCAAGTTTTAAGTTAGAATTTACACAGGCACAGGGAAATACAAAATGACAGATTATGCCAAAATGTTACTTTCTCAACTTCCCTCACAGGTAAAAAAAAATTGATCAAAAAGTCAATGGTCAAATTATGTTAGAATATATGCCACAGCAAGACTGAACTTGTAAGTAACATATTTATATATATTATCCATCAGTTTCTCCACTATCAGATTTTTCTAATAGTTCAGCCTTCAGGTAACTCACAATAGATGCAATGATATTTTTCCATCTGAACTGTGCATAGAGTAATCGAGGCATATGAAATAAAGTAAGCTAAGTCAGATTGCATAGTCACAGGTATTTCTTGTGCCAAATCAGTCCTCAAAGCTTCTTATTATTTCCCTTTACACGTAATTTCCTCATTCATACTTCTTGCTCCTTGAAGCTCTCAAGATGATCTGTAAACTTGCATTGAAACAGGGAGTAAGAATAATTTTCATCAGGAATATTACACAAATGAAATCAGGAAGTAGAAGCTCTGCTACCAATTCACTGTAACCAAGAGGTGCACCTCAGAAGGATACAGGACTCTCACAATCATCAAGAGTGGAAAAAATTACTATACTGTCCTTCCATTGCCTTCCAAAACCAATTCAATATGGTCCAGCTACCTGGACACTTCACAGAAACAGTTTGGAAATAATGATACTGTCCTTCCATTGCCTTCCAAAACCAATTCAATATGGTCCAGCTATCTGGACACTAGCTTCACAGAAACAGTTTGGAAATAATCAGAAGAGTTCTACAAGGCCTTGGAACAGTGGGCAGCTACAGATGTCATCTATTTGGACATCTGTAAGGCCTTTAACATGGTTACACACATCATCCTTCTCTCAAAACTGGAGAGATTTGATGCATGGACTCTTCAGGGATGAATGGTCCCACCCAGAGAGTAATGGTCAACTTCCCAATGTCCAGATGGAGATTAGTGATGAGTGGTGTCCCTCAGGGGTCTGTACTAGGACCAGGACCATTTGATACCTTTATCAATGACACAGTCAGTGAGATGAAGTGCACTCTCAGCAATTTCCAGATGACACCAAGCTGAGGTGATTTGACAGTATGCCATCAGTGGGACTGAGACAAGCTCAAGGAGAGGTCCATGGGAACATCATGAGGTTTAACAAGGTTAAGTGCTGCTGCACCTGGGCTGGGACAACCCCTGGTTGCAGCCCAGGCTGGGCATGAACAGCCCCAGAGCAGCCCTGCCCAGGAGGGCTTGGGGGTGCTGTGGGTGAGAGGCTGCACATGCCCCGGCCATGGCACTGCCAGCCCAGAGAGCCAAACGTGTCCTGGGCTGCATCCAGAGCCCCGTGGGCAGCAGGGCAGGGAGGGGATTCTGCCCCTCTGCTCTGCTCTGCTGAGACCCACCTGGAGCACTGCATCCAGAGCTGGGCTCCCAGCACGGGAGGGACAGGGACCTGCTGGAGTGAGCTCAGAGGAGGGACACAAAATGGTCACAGGGCTGGAGAACCCCTCCTGTGAGGATGCACTGAAGAGCTGGGGTTGCTCAGCCTGAAGAAAGCTTTGGGGAGATCTTTTTGTGGCATTTCATTACTTAAAGGGGGCTTATAAGAAAGATGGGGGAAGACATTTTAGTAGGTCTTGCTGTGATAGGACAAGGGGTAATGGTTTGAAACTAAAAGAGGGTAGATTTAGAACTACATATATGGAATAAAATTTTTATGAGGAGGGTGCTGGAACACTGGATGGAACAGGATGCCCACAAAGGTGGTAGAAGCCCCAGAAACATTCCAGGTCAGGTTGGACAGGGCTCTGCACAACCTGATCTAGAAGATACTTTGGGTCATTGCAGAGGGCGATTAGACTAGATGCTGTTTAAAGGTCCAATCTATTCTACAGTTCTGTGAACACAAAATGGAATAAAAAAATCCCAAACACTACTGCATCTGTGTAAGAGCCAGTGTTACAGGTCTCTGACTGTCTGAGAAAAACTCAACCACACTACTTTGACTTTTAGGCAGGACAGTACAGAACTATCTCCTCCACGGACCAATTAACTTAAGAGCATAAAATGATCATGGTTTTCCTTGGCAAATTTAATGGACACACTTACACTAAGGTAAGACCTCACAAGTGAGATTACTTTGCTTCTTGTTTCCATCTTCTCTGCCTTACTGGTTCTTGAACTACAAGGCAGGAAGCCAAACCCAGCTTGTTACAGGCTGCAAACCAGTATATTTAACTTCATTTTCTGTTGGACTTGCAGAACTAGTTTTTCAGTTGGGGTACCTGACTTTGTAAAAACACTGCATCATCACAGCCATAGCACTTACTAGAACCCAAGCCAGCTACACCTTACATGTATCATCTCATGTTCCTCTCAATATCCAAATAGCATTTCAAGGCCTGTATCTTGCCCCAGCCAGATGCCACACAGCACAGTCTCATAGAAAACAGGCTGATGGACAGACAGGCTAGTAATATATGTAGGTTATAAGACATTAGTAAATGGGAGCTGTGAACAGCAAATACATATTTTGCTGTTATGTATATGTTATATATGTTTTGCTACATATTACACTGTTCAGTGAAACACAGAATGTATCAAGCACTTCTCCTTCCAACATCTGTTTCCCTTCTGTAGATGACCAGGTATATACGTCAACTGTTTAAAAAAAGTTCTGAAAACAATATGCATTAACATCTGTGATGTTAATTGAAATTCTGCCATCTCAGTAAAATTCTTACCCTTAGCCATGCACATATACTTACAGGAATGCCTCTGCCTTCATACTTCAAGATACTCTCTTCAGAAATGCACATGGGAACAACAAAATACAAAGGCAGCCTAAGACAACAAAGAAGAAATTTTTGGTTCAAAACCAAAGAACAATATCCAAGTTCCTTTTAATGACAGTGAGTGTTCTAGCTGGAATTCTAATTATATATTCACCTTGCTACAATAATCTTTCCTCCTAGATAATTCTATTGTCCTCAAAGCTGTCCCTTAATTTTCAGCTGAATAAGGCTTTTTTCCCAACCTTGAGGTCTTAACTATTTCCATTGCAACACTCCCCTGCCTTTGCAAAGGTGCAATTAATTGTAACCTCTAAGACTGAATGCTAAGATCACCTTGGTTCTCTCACACTTTGCTGTTTCAAAAGATACCCTTGGCTCTACTAAATGACTAGTTCTGTTTCCATGCCTGTTAAGCAGTTCACATCCTAATTCAAGAACATAATTTAATTTTTAAGGATTTCCAGCATCAACCAACTCTATTGACGTTCAAGGTCCAGAGAAGCAACGAAGGTAAGTACTTAAACTCAGTTTGGGTCTCCCAAGAGAGAGTTCCAGAATACATAGTTAAGACTCTAAAATACTGCTTTCCAAGGCCTGTGAGATCTTTCAAGATTTGCTATGAAACAACAGTAGAAGTATACAATGCCTTGTATACATCCTAAAGGGCTCAGCACTGAATGCTCCTCAGCTAAACTGGTGGTCAAGCTCAGCTAAGCTTAGCTAACCTTCTCCTAAAGGCAACACAACTTAACTTCCACTGGCACTTTTTTGCAGATTTACTTTAAACCAGTTACTTTTTCCCCACCCAGCTCCCTCCCAACAAAAACAATGGAAAATCTCCAGTGCAGTAACTTGAAATTTTACCACAGTAAAGGCACAGACTGAGAAAGTGTCATCCTAACCAGTATGACAGAAGTGTAGATCCCAGACATATTTTCTATTCTCCACTCCTAGATATACTCAAAGCTTGATTTAACCAAGGTCCTGAGTAGTCTGTACCTAATGTTGAAGTTAACCCATCTTGAATCAGGGGTTGTGCAGGATCACCTCCTGAGATGACAAACCAAACTATTCCATAAATAAAAATGGAAACCATATCCTAAAAAGACTCACAAAAACCTGTATAATCCCTAGCTTCAAAGGTAGCACACATTTTCACACATCCAAAGTTCACTGTTAACCGGGGCAATCTTACTTTTCAGAGACTCTGTAGCCTTCGTTGGTTGTCACTGCTTTATATTTCACATTCCCTTTGGTCCGCTCCAACTCATCACGCCAGTCCTCCAGGGTCTCAAACATCACGGTTTGGTTTCTCCCATCTGTCAGACATCAATAAAATTAACTTTGCAGACTGTCAAGAACTCTAACACCAAAGCAATCCTAAGTAAACCTGTTAGTTGCCATTAAGGTAAGTAAGCAGAACTCTTGTGTACCAAAAGTCTCGAGTCAAAGACAAAATGCCTTTGTATACCACACTGCCTCTGTCTGATCTTTAACAACAGCAATATTCTATCAGATACAGCTGTTACTAACAACTTCAGGAACAGTTTCTCCTGCAGAAACTAATAATTTGTTACAGAACTTCCATTCAGCTGGGGCTGTCCTCACATCCAGCCTAAAATGCAGCAAATAATGCAGCTGACTGGTATCTAATCCTGTAGTTTAAGTGCATAATTAACAATCATACCAAAAACCTTTCTACAAAAATTTCAGATATTGCATTTCATTTAAGGTTCATTTTTTTTTCCTCATGAATAGTTTTGCATTGAATAGAACATTCACAGACACTCAGTAAGAGCAGAAAATTAATTACAGCAATTCAGTCTCAATACTTTCAACTTAGACTCTTCCCCGTAATTCTACTTAGCCACCTCAGAAACAGTTAAGACAGCAGCTTGATTTAGCCTCAGATCTTGTATAATACCATATAATTTATGGAGTAATGTCAATTGTTTTAAGCACACATCCTAACTGAGTAACATTCTACAATATCAGCTAACCCTGAAATAGCAAAAAGAGCTATCATTTCCATGGAAGAATGGAAGATACAATGGTAACTTGAAACTTTTCACTGTAAGAAGATAAGGTAGATGAAAAATTTACAGCTTGGAACAGAACATTATTGATGAGCTCTTGGAGACAGGATTTTAGAGACAGGATTTTAGAGTCTGTCTCTCAGACAGTGAGAGGCATAAAAAACAATTTCCACAGTCTATTTGTCTTATCCTGTACTAATTTTATGAAGAATGACACCAAGCCACTTACTACTGAACACAGCTATTAAAATAGGAAAGAATTGTGGGACAGCACGTCAGTGTTGCTTTAAAGAGGAGGCTTCTCCCAGGATCTGTCTCTACCTGGAAAAGCTTGCAGTCTTTCCATCGTTTGTAGCTGAAACAGAACACCAGTTTCAGGTGAAGCCTGCAGGAACTACCTGAGCCAGCAGGTAGTTCCTGCAGCTTCCTTGCAGCAAACAGACAGTGTGCTCCTGGGCTGCATTCAGCAAGGCCACCGTGTACCAGCTGAATGAAGCCACCACTGCTGTCAGCTGGAGGGCTGTGCCCAGTGCTGGGCTCCCCTCTGAAGTCTCCCGGACCAGGTCCAGTAAAGGCCCTCTGTGATCATTAAAGGGCTCAAAACACCTGATATGAGGAGAGACAGAGCTGGGATCACTCAGAAAAGAGGGCTCAGCAGGGGCCAATCTCCCTGTGTTTATAAATATTGGGGTGGAACAGGGGAGGAGAGTACAGAAGATGGATCCACACTCAGTGACTTGACAAGAGGCAGTTATGCACAAGCTGAACTACAGCAAATCCCACATACACATAACAGTAATGTTTTTCACTACAAGGAGGGTCAAACAATGAAACTGACTCTCCAGAAAGGCTGTGGAGTCTCAATACTTGGAAATATTCGAAAACCAACTGGACATGACTAAGCCTGATGCAGTTAACCCTACTCTGAAGAGGGGCATATGGACAAGAACATGACTAGATAATCTCCAGAGGCTTCACGGAGCCTCAATGATCATCTCAATGATCCTGAAATTCCTTGACATATTTTGGTGTTTGATTAATACCTTGCATACATCAAAACCTCCCTCTGTGAAAGGAATTGGTGTTGCTGGTCCACTAAGGGTCAGGTTCCTAATTCAAAACAGTATTATTATTTCAGCTAAAGTCTGAATTACAAAATGCTAGAAAGTACACTGACAACTTTTTGTCCTGAATTTTGCAGTCTAATGTATTATTCAGCCAAGTTTGATCAAGTGGGAAGATTATGTAATAAGTCAGATACAAGAGGAAGTCAGATGCCTTGCAAATCTATGTTTTTTTTGCAATTGCCTGGAAGAAGCATATTGCTTGCAAATAAGAGCAAAAGGGGAAATACTTTCTCATAGGATACCACTGCAAATGCAGTAATTTCAGAATTAAGAGCAGGAAGTCTGGTTCACAGCAGCAATACAGATAAATACAGAAAAATAGAGATAAAACAAGCAAAGTATTTTCTAGATGAACCACGTGAAAAGCATTTGCACATGTTAATCACAGTAAGTTTTCAATCTAGGGACACTACTCCTCCTCGGACAATTTCTGTGCAACTTCCTGAAGGACACCAAAACCAACAGAAGGCAATTTAGAGATTTTCAACAACAGGCTTAACAATGTACAACGAAAGAAAAATTAATCTTTTGAAGCTACCTGCCAGCAGGACAGAGCCATAAGCTGAGACAAACTCAACTACAGACCTCCCAGTCTGTTTAACAAACTACGCAACAAACAGATTAAAAAAAACATTTACCTGTGTTGTTTGGAGCAGCTGATGCATAAGAGAACAGAAACAAACGTTTAAGCAGCTTAGGAGTCTGGCTATGATGAACTATACCACTGACGATCTAAAAAAGGACGAAAAATTAACACCCAAACACACACCAAGATTGTCAGTGTAAAAAAAGCTTATTTTTACCAACCCCTCCATCCAGATGGGTTCTGTCTGATGGATTCTATCCCCAACAGCTGAAACCTGATTTTTAGGAAGGTTTCTCTGTTTTCTGCAAGACACTGTACCTACTTTGTCTAAGTAGTATTATATGTGTTCAACCTCCAGAATTACTCTTATTTAAATAAAGTTAGTTGACGCTTAGTTTGGAGTAGAGACTAACTTCTCCAAAAAATGAAATTTATCAGGAAAGTAACACTATACTGAAGTCTGAAATAAAGTGAAACTACATGTCACAAACAGAACAGCTTTACAGCTTGTCTGAGCTGGAGCTAATTTCCTGTAGCACTCCCAAGTTCCAGTTTTCTTTAAAGAGCCACTGCACCTGTCTTTTAACTGCTATGCACAATGAAATGTTCAATAAAATCAATCTTTTACTTTCTGTCTTAGCTGGAAATGATCAGAAAACACTCCCAAGTTTCAGGGTGAATTTCATCCTTCCCTCATCCTCACAACACCCAACACCAAGCTAAAAATAGAAAAGCAAATTAAGTTACTATACGTACTCTTTTCACTTCCTCTTCTTTTGTGTATCTCAGGCAGAAGTTAAATACTCTAAGGTCTTTACAGTAGATAATTAACTTCTCTGGGTATTTTCTTAGCTGTCCTGTTAGAAGTTTCTTTTTCTCATCATAAACTGCAAAATTAAAAAGGAAAGTAAATATCAAAAAGGTACTTGTAATGTTGATAAAGTTGTCCCTGACTGACTTTCCAGAATTCTCAAGAAACTAATTCAAGCCCAAGTTTTCTCAAGACAAAACGAGCATCCTACAACTTAGGTTGGTAAGCCTCAACTTTTTCTTTTAAAACCCATCAAATTACTTCATACAAGGTAAAAGGCAAATTTGCAGCAAACCAGCTGCTCAAGGGTTGTATCTATTCACATTCTGACTGCACACCAAGTTCAAAGTTTCAAGATACATAAAGAACAAGTAGTTTTACACAAGGGGAAGTCCCCAGACATCTGAGATCATTCTAAGTTCCTTAATTTTTTTTTAGATTTTTTTTTTAACCACCAAGAAGCCTCCAAGGCAAACCTCTGCTCATTTCTCTTTGAGGATGTACCATTTCACAACTTCAAGTGCTGCCAGCTCGGCCACTGTACATAAAACTAAAGTGACTCATAACCATCTCCACTGGTCTGCCCCAGCTCACTTCACAAATCCACACCACCATTTATAAACACACTGAATACTCATAATTAGTCCAAGAACAGGATTCTCAATAAAGCCTTCCTATACTTAAAATAATCTGCCCCATTCTCAGTTACCTTTTGTAGCAATTCTGGCACATCTCTAAAGACCCCATGCAAAGCACTAGATTTAAATGTCAATTAAATGTCAATTAAAACCTCCTTTTCTATCTCCTTTAATATGGTGAAGATACCATGTATCTCATAAAACAAAGTTCCCTTAGACAAACAAAAAGAATTTGAGAATTTGATAACTGTACTGCTATTGCTCAAATGAAGTGAATAGATCTATATTTATAGAAATAGTTGACACATTGGAAGATCCTTGTCTACAAATTTAGGGACTTTTCACAGTATACTCTCTGCTTTGAACCATTGCATTTTGAAGGAATCATTTTGTCAGTTCCAGTGGACAATTAATCAAATAAATTAAAATTAATTTGACAATCTTGAGGGATAAGACTGGGTTCTGATAAATTTCTTATCTGTCATTTCATCATTAAATATAATTGCAGCTGCTTTTTAAAAATGTATTGGTTTTCTAAAAAGGATGTATTTGTACAAGGAGCACCAGCACTCCTAAGTCTCCCAGGGGTAAAAAGCTGACTTACCTCCATATATTTGATCTACGCATTGCAGAGTTATATCATTTTCTCCTACAATCTTATTCTTAAATTGTGGCTCCTAGAAACATGAAAAATATCATAGAAATGTCACACTACAGTACCACCTTCTGCCAAGTAAATGCTTTCCATGCACTGTTTTACTATCAGCATTACTTCTTATTCTTAGAAGCTATGTAAGGCAGGACACTGAAGAACAGTTATTAAAATGCAGACAGATGCAAGTTACACACACAATATAGCTTTATTTAAGTCTCAACCATGCTTGAAACGTAGATACAGTTTTTACTTTTCAAACAGCTTCAAAGCATACATTTCTACTGAGAGTCACTTTTCAAACTAGAATCACTGCAGTAAACAGGAAATACAGCAGCTTCATGTAATCCAAGCCCTTTTATGACAAGTTTCCTTGCTATGGGAACCTGGCAGGAAATACAAAGTCTCTTAAAAGAACAAATATCCCAAGGACACAGTAACATTAAAATCAGATTTATGACCGGGTAAAGTGAAGACACACACACAACTCAATTACCTTATCTACTGTGTAACCAAACCTGAAGTGATTTGGAGTTCCCTTCACTTCTACCTTTCCATTAGTACAGTTAAAAATGGCATTTTAGTGATGCCACAATTAAACACTATTATTTTCAATACTGTTACCAAACAGCTGACTTACACTACAACAGCAAATTATATTTTATTGTGAACAAAGTTAGCCTTATTCGAGTTACTTCCACACCTGCAGTACTCTGAAGAAGGTAGCTAATCCTGGGCTTTTGTTAACAGAAATAGAATTGACCCGGCGTTATAAACCCAAGGTTCAAAGCCAGCAATGGAACAGAAATTAGCAAGGTCATTACCAACTTTCCACAGATCACTTGAGATTTACGTCAAAAGATTCTGCAGCTTTGTCTTAATTAATTCCAGATGGTCCAATAATCTGTACTTGGCTGCAGAAGCCTTAGTTTAATGTTTAAACTTTGTGAAATTTAACCCCAAGTAACTTCTGACTACAATCAACAGATGTCAAATCATATTATTCTCATTGTCCTTAACTGTCAAGATCACCTTGAATGTGGGAGCCACTAGACTCTCTTTTCACTCCTAACAGCTAAATAGACTAAACTATTTCAATGCTTAAGCTTAGCTAAAGCACTGTGGCATTACCATTCTCCTCTGACAGCTCAATTTGAGCACCTAAACCAAAGGAAAAAAGATTGAAATAATTTTGAAGATTTGGGAAGTTGTTAGCTTTTTCGGTGTTTGCAAGCTTAACAGCACTAGGTTTTAAAATCTTTTCAGTAAATATTGGACTTTGAATGAAATAATTCAGAGTTTTACTGAGCCACATAAATTTTCAGAGCATTTCCGCTGAGTATTAGCTTACTCAGTCCTGTACAGCCTGAAATGATTCTGCAGATGTAGCCCAAAGTCAAATCAGGCAGATGTTTTCCACCATCAGACATTCACACTTCCACAAATGCTACCAAGACAAAGAGTCAGAATCAGCTTTAAACAAACTGTTGATTAGTTTTCAAAACAATGGGTTCTTTTAACTTAAGCTTCACCAACTCACAAAGTATAAAGAGTTTTAAACTATGTCTAATCTAAGTGTCCACATAAATGCTTGCACTGCCTCTGCTTAAAATAATCATTAGAGATTGAGAAAGGATCAAGCAGATGCAGACTGATTCAAGTTCTTCTGCACCCATTAGCAAATTTTATACATTTATGTTCATTCTGCATCTTTATATAAGGGAAAGATATGAGTATTTATGCAGAGCCTGTTTAGTCATAATTAGAAGACTTGTTTTCTTACATTATCATCTGAAGCAGAATCATCATCAAGGAAAGAAATCTTAAAGTTTGTGCACACGAGTTTCCCGTAAGTGCCACGATTTGACCCATCTTCTTGCACATACTTGTACACTGTGCTGGCTTCACAAAGTAGCAGTTCACCTGTGGAGAAGAAACACTGACTTGCAACATTAACTGACATTTACAACTGAATTATTTCAATTGTTAAATCTCAATCACAGCAATAACTTCCTGACAGTTTCTCAGAACTGTACGCCTAAAGGCTGTTCATCACTGTTACACAAAGGCACTACGAGGCAGCTCCTGGAATCAACTATAATCTTCGTTGTAATCTTAATCTTCCAGGTTACTAATGTTATTCCAGAAGCCCTGAACTGCAAATGTTTGGGAGTTCTGTAACCTGTGTCATGGCCTACTCCAAATGGCAGTAGAATGTTAATCATTCAAGTACGTAATTGAAAAAAAAACCCACAAAACACAGCAAGAGCAGTTTATATAGTCAATAAACAAGTTGAAAATTATTCCAATCCTCCTTACTGTTAAACTTTAAGAATGCTGAAACATTTGAATTTGTTATTTCAGGTTCATTTTAGTTATTTTTTCATAGCTTTGACTATTTTACAGGTCCCAAAGCTATTTTAGAAGTCTCAAATACAAGTTTGCATAAATAATAGTCAATTAAATTATTGTGTTAGAATTCACAGGAACTGAACTTCAAATTTCAGAAAGTAAAGTTTTAATAGATGTGATTAGACAGACTCTTGGTCTTTCCTAAAAAGTATAGGAAACCCAACAAAAGAATACTAGTTTATTGTAAACTTTTACATGTATTTTGTCTTTGCTTATCTTAGAAAATATTTTTAAACAAAAAGTAATTGTAAATTACAAAAGAAAATATTAACAGTAAAAGAAAAATTGAAAGGCCCAAGTAACTCACAGCAGAGACAAAGCCACAAGAAGGTAAATTTCCTCTAGTTCTTGTCTTCAGTTCCAAACAAAAGCCACCCAACTTTAATTTCTAAGAAACAGGGCAAACTCAAGTATTTGAGTATTTGCCCTGAGGATATTGAACTCTGTAAAAAATTTGGTTTTATACAGTTTTCAACATCGCATGCAGATTGAGATATTAAAAACACTTCAATCTGCATGGGCTGTTAAACCAAACACTGTATTTTACTATTTGTGACACTGATGTCACCTGAGTGTTTCCTGCAGACATGGAAATATTTAAGTATTATTCATTAATTCCTGATTTTTATTACTTAAATCTAGTAATATACAACAGTTACCTGGTAATAAATGAGGATTTACTTCCTTTTCTATAGGTTCCTTTATGTGTATTTCCTAAAGAGAGAAAGAGTAATTATTACCTTGCAAAGATCATACCTTCACATGCTGTAAAGAACTACACCTTCCCACCTTAATTCCTCACATTCTGGCAAATAAAAATTAAGGAAAAAAAGCCTCCAAAATGAAAGGAGTCTACGTCTGCAATTTGATCTTTACACTTCATGTCAAAAGTCTATTTGCTAAGTAATTGTTTTGACATCCACAGTGACAGTTGCATGCGTTTATGAACACACAAAAAATGCACTATTTCTGCAACAGACAGAAATAAAGCATTACCAGTATTTTTAAAGTTCTCTCAGAACACCTAAACGGACAAGCATAAACTTAGTGTTATAGCACCATCTCCCAGCTCATGCATAAGCTTTTCCATGTATGACTTGCTATTGTTTCAAATGTACCCTTCAGTTTTTCAAGTTTCATCCATGACTCCCTGTTTCTGATTGTTTTACACACATTTCAACCAAAGTACAGAAGTTCCTTAAACAGCACTAACAGTTACATAAACAGCACTAACTATGGAAAGGTATTTCAGGATATTGGAGCTAAGAGGTAAAACCTGGTGACAGGAGATCCTTCAGTTTGGACCCAAATTGCGCACAGCAAACATACTAAATTCGCCATGTCGCTTATTCTAGCCTTTAGGCACTGACAGTTGGGCTAAAATCTCCAGCCAAAAGACTATTAACCTAGAGGAGATGCTACACCCTTCCTGCTCAGCCTGTTCAGAACTTCCTCCTCCAAGCCCAAATCACTCTGCATGCACTTTGGAGTCTTTCTGGAAAACCATTAGTTAACTGGAAACCCTCCCCCCCAGGGCCACAGCAGTAAGCAAGCTAATTTTAGTTTGTCACCAGCATCCAGTCAGCTACTGCAATTCAAGGCAAAATAAGATATAAGCAGTAATAATTCTGCTGGATTAAATACAGGGAAACAAAAGCCCCTGAGAGTACAAAAATAAACAGCCTCTGCCATTCATATAAACACTTGCACACTCAGAAGACCGAGAACTAAGTTTGAAGGTTGCACAGCCAAACCACCAGGAAACCACGTCATAAGAACAGCAGAGATGTTCAAGATAGGCTGAAAAGAGAAAAATGTTATAAAACGAAAGTAGTAGTGGTGTGAAGAAAGAAATCCATAACTACAGCTGATAGCTAATAGTGGAAAAAAAAAATCCCAGTTTGTTGCCTTTGTCTTCTAAGTGTGGATGTCCTAGAAGTAATATTACTCAAAGTTCATGTTTGTCAGCTAGAAAGTCAGTTAAAATGCTACTACGACTTAAGCTGCATACTTCTGCATTCAGAGGAGAAATATATACACCTTTTCTTCCCCCAGCATTGTGTCTTCACCAATGGTAGCTTTTAACTAAACTTTGGGTTTACAAGTGCCTTTAACAGCTCTGCCTTATACAGTCACTCTTTGTGTCCAACTACATGCAACACTGCTCAGAAAACTGCATGCCAACAATGACTCCCACAGAACAGTAAAACAGTTATACCAGCCAGGTGCTTTTCCAGCACCTCTGACTTTGGGAGATGCCAGAAAGAATGTAGTAACTACTGTTCTGCCCACACACTGTTCGTACTTATTGCCATGAGTACCAGTTTATGGCAGTTTTGGCAGAACTGAACTGAATTAAAAAAAAAAAAAAAATCTGACCCCAAAGAAGTTCTTTGAGCTTACACCCATTTGTTAAAATGAAATGAAGCTTTTATAAAGGGTTTCAACAGCAAATAACCTTGAACAAGTGGTTACAAGTTTTTGGTTACAAGTTAAAATTGGTTATCTTCTGAACAGAGTTAGAAGTTTAATCAAATTGCATCACAGCAGATTAGTGACCACAAACACTGAGATCACCTTGTAAAATCCAGTTTCACTTTCTTGAAAAAAGCCTACAGACACTGAAGTGCTTACAATAGGCAGAATTCCTACAACATTCAACAGAGTTAAGCCATGAGTTAAGCCTCCAGAAGAGTTCTACTTGAAATTCAACATTTACATTCCCACAATAAATACACAAACATATTAAAGGTGGTTTTGATACATATAGAGATAGCTAGACCTCAAGCCATGAGTGCTGCTGAAGAATCCATGCTGCTGCACTCATTTTCCTAGGGAGGGTATGAAAACACATTAGAATTTACTACTGTCACATTTTGTATTTGCTCTTTTCAGTGAGAAGGTAAAGATCTGAAAGAAAAATTAACTCACCATGAGTCAGTTCAAGTTGTGTAGGAACACATATGTAAATTCAGCTGCCATCTCCACTCTGTCTCAACTATATTTTTATAACGAATATAAGTTTTGGGGCAACACAGATCTTACCATTAATTGAAGAGCCTGTTTCAATTTATTATCCTCAATGCCCCTTTAATCAGTCACACGCTCACAGTCACCCACCCACTCCTTTATCCCTGGATTTGTCTGACAACACGGTGAGATAATTTGATTTGTAAAATCAGCTGGGAAGCATATACTTGTCCTACATTTGGTTTTATTGTTAGTGCCTATTGTTAGCAGAACTGGCTCATCAACAGGTCAGATGAGCACATAAACAAAAGAAAGGGAAGGAGCAGAAGTAAGTCTGCCCATTTCTGCAAGTTGCTGAATACATCTGGACCTCAGAAATCTTCATGCTCTGACCATTTGTTGAGGCTCAGCATGCAAGTACTTTCCATTTGTGATGACTGAAAGCCATGCAAACCTCTAGATAGAACTTTTCATCTGTAGCTCCCCTGTTCTGAATGCCCCAAGCAGCATTTTGTCACTTACTTAAGGTACAACAGGGGAAACCCTACAACCAGCCACACTTAAAAGCAGTCACCCACAGGACACCATGCAAATAAGGAAAATTAACTATGTTTCTGTAATTTCTGATGCAAGAACTTCAACTCTGCAGAAGGTTTTAGAAACTTCCTTCTAAGAGATGCTTCTCACCTGTGCACTTACCTTGTGCTATATTCCTTCTTCCAGGCTCTCAAACCATGTTAGGAAATATGGCAATGCCCTTTAATTATCAATTTTAACAGTAGAGAGTACCAAATCATGTCAAAACTTCAAGCTGACATGTCACACCAAATTAATTCATAATACATCCCCCTTCTTGCTAACAGAAAACCAAAAACTTCTTTCCTTACGGAAAGTTCTCTTCTTGTTTTTTACCCAAATATAAGAACAACTGCACAGTTTGCAATACCCAGGGACTACAGTCAGCTCTCCTCCAAAAAAATGTATTTAAAGGGGTTAAAGTATTTTCAAGCTAGTCTGGGGACACAAGTCTTCCCCAAGTGCTGAAGGCATAAGTGAGGCAACCAAGTTTAGGACAACAAGGTTGAATTTCATTTTAGTAACAGGGTCCTAATGGTTGGAGCAGGAAAGGAATCCCAAATGACTTCTGCTTTTTGTCCTACAGTGTCACCAGAATTGAAAGCAGTTCCTTTCACTCTACAGGGAGGTAAATAACTGTGTACTAGAAATAAGTAAAGAGAGAAAAACATTCCCTGCATGCCAGAATCCAGATGTTGATAAGAGAATCTGTTTGGGGTTTTTTTCATCATTACTGACTTACAGATACAAATATATGTGCCTACTGATCCTGGATGTTATTCACCACCCCCAGCAGAGACACCATGCATACAGTCTGCTGCTTCAAACTGTAAACTCTGAATCTAACTTACCCCACAGTAATGCTTCCACTGATCCATAGCTGGACATTTGCACTACAGGTAATTCTGACAATGAAAAACAAGACTTACTAAAAATGCTGAGAAAGTATGTTTGAGAGATTCAAGTAATGAAGGAACAAGTGACCACTTCCAGGCTATCAAAGGTACTGTCTGAAACAGCTGACAGCTTTCAAAGCTGGCAGCAAATAGTGCTGCAAGAACACTGGATACTTTGATTTTTTTATATAGTTTTCCACAAGTAAGTTCTGGACAGGGAAGATCTACATCCTGGTGAGGTTTGCTATGAGCATCTGTTTTTTCATATTTACTTCACTAAAAAGAGGGGTGAGATAAAGATAAATATACACTTAAGTAAGTTATCAGTTGTGAAAGTCAAACTGTGTACCAAAAGACCCGCAAATCAGTTGTGGTGCTCCAACAAGTGAATACAGTGCTCCTGAGTAAAATAAACTTTTGTGGAACAGTTCCACTGGAATTCCATGCAAAAGAGGAAACATCCGTGCAAATGCTGAGTATCTACTTTGCATCCAGAAACAAACCAACTACATACCTGGTACTTTCTGAAGGACTTTTTGTTGGTCAAACAAGCCTAATCCCACGTTGTATGCCACACAACCCACAGCATGTACTTACTACACTTTCATAACATTGCTGAGAATAATCTCCAACTGCTTGTTTTCCTTCCTTTCACAGCTCCCTTATCCAGAAGTCTGTTAGATCATAGCATGTGTTTTCCCTGACTGTTTCATCTCTTATCCTTTCCTCTTTCCTTACATTGTCCTGTCCATCTCCTCTGACATCAACACCCGGTTTCCCCCATGTCAGCCCAGCTGTCCAGCAACTCCTATTCCTTATTCCCCCCTTTAATTCCACCACCCCAATTTTGAACATATGTTTTTAAGACTGATCACAATGTTGTACCAAGATTTACAAGCAAGAAGTATTCACAGTGTTTATGAGCTAAGAACAGTGCAGGATTTGAGAGACAAAGTGCACGAGGCATGAAAATTACCCCCAGCAGTTTGTGGTGTACCCCAGACTTCAGAGATAAGCAGCATGAAGCAGAACAACTACTTACACAGTTTAAAGGCTAACACAGGAAAAAACATCCAAACAGAATGAATATGAAGGACTTAGCTTTAAAGAATGCATGCAAAAATATCAACTTTGAGCTTAAAATAAAATTTTAAATCTAATTTCTTATGCAAATTAAGATTTTAGGAAAATACAATCTAGCTTGTTTCAACTGTAAATAACTTCAAAGTCTGAAAGAGTTAGAAATCATGAAGTAATTCACTGGTCCTTGTTTCACTGTCTCCACAGACACATATTCTAAGTCTGTGATCTGAAATGTCAAAATATTGACTTTATACCCTAGTATTCACCCCATTTCCTGCAGGGTAGCCAAGTCTGTCCTGAGGGGAAGTGTGTCATTAATATCAACATCCTACGGTCTCACTCTCAACAGACCACTGATTGATTTGCAGTTCCATACAGCAGAGCCTAACTAGGTTATATTTAGTCAGATGTTAAAAATGCTGCTTTTCCAGACATTCTAGGATTTCACAGCAAAAATTAGTTCTGTTCCTTTACTAAACAGCATTTTCTTTTCACTCTTTGCTTCCTGTTTCATTTCATATTCAAATTAGCACACACAGCAGCTTAAAGCTGACTTCATTTTATTTTTCAGAATATTGCCTACTGTGTCCCTCAGGTATGTCTAAAGATGGTCTAAACAAGGTGGGGACAAACCAAAACTCAGCTCTACCTGTTAATTTCTCTACTGCAGGGCTCCCATTCCCTGGAAGCAGCAGTTTAAGGCCTTAAAACAGCTTCCCAAGCAAACCAGGACAAGACCACAGAAGCTGGAGGCTGCTGGAGGCTGCAAGCAAGGGAGGGCTGCAGCTAACAGGATTCTATTGCTCAGAACTGCATAGTGGTTAATTGGAAATCTTGCCTCAGGCTGGACGTACAAAGAGATTCAAGGCAAGGCTCTGCAAATTCATGGAGAAGCCCACCATTAACTCCAATCCTACACAGCTAAAATCTCAAGCTCATTAAGTCCCTGAACTGCTGCTTTCCACCTTCTCACATGGCCTGCCAGAGGGAGTATCACACCTGTTGCCAGCACTTCTTCCACGAGCACCTGGAAGTCAAAACGCCTTGATGAAAGCTCCCAGGTGACCCAACTATGTTCCACATAAAAAGAATTAGAATTTCCATTGTTTTACCAGTCTAGTTCCTTTTAAAATTCAACTACATGGAAGTTAACTTGCACAGGAAACCTGAGTTCAGGAAGTTGTTTTTCTTGGGTGCACACAGGCGTGAGAGATGCTCACTTCTGCTTACTTTAGGATGCTTAATCAACATGCTTTTTCTAGACACCAAAATAGTCTCACAGATTTCATCATATACCTAACATTTTATTTTTAATCCTCATAAAAGCCATTAAAGTCTTCAGTTTCCTGTGTAACCATTAAGGCAGTAAACAGCTGTCAACAGCAAAGTCAGATTTGCTTTACTTGCTAATCACATCAGATCTCAGTTTCACTCTGTCTTTGAAGGTGCAAAAGCGACATCCATTCTATGGCAGAAGTCACATCTATAACACAAAGTTTTTGCTGCAAGAGTGCACTAAATTCTTAAATTTAAGTGAAACATGGAGAGGCCTAAAAGCAGCAAGAACATGTAAAGAGTTAATGGCAGTAATGTCTACTGAATCAGGATATTTCATAAAGAGCCTCATCTTCCAGTGTTACATACCTTAGTTACTCTTCCTGCAGCCATCAGGATCATATTTGAAGCATTACATCACCGCACTTAAAATCAAATTAAAGTACTCTTTATTATTTGGTATCTTGCTGCACTATGTATATATTTACTTGTGCTCTTTTCAACCAGCCATTTTTTCTAGCATGCATTAGTCCTACACTACACTCATTTAAATGGTGAAATGCCTTCCAGTAAGTCCAACAAGTGAAGCTGTTTCTTTCACAAAGTCAAGCTCCTTGTATATTTGTATGAGGTACTTTCCAAAGGTGAAAAAGTGACCTCGGACAGGGATATATTTGCTGACTCCAGAAATACTTGTACCTATCATTTCCATCTGTTTTCACTTGGAAATACAAGAAAGAGATAAAACTTTCAAAGTAAACTGATGAAACTACGAGCCACCAGGACTGAAAAACATATAAAAACCGGATTTGCTATCACCAACTAAGGACATAAGTTTTAAATATCACAGCTGATTTTGGCCGTAATAACTCTGATTGTTCTTTCAGATCCAGTGTAAAAAAAACCCAGCAGATTCACTAAGGTCCTATCAGTGACAGACTCTGCACTAACTAACAAGATCGACAAAAATCTCTTCCTTAAGAAGCTTTCAAGAGAATTAAAAATTAAGAAGAATCAGTTTGACACACATTACAAAGAACTAGGAGAGGGGAAATCCCAACACTTATGGCTCATATTCATCAAATGTTTTTCCTAGAAAACAGCTGTTTACCCGGAATAAGAATGATGGAATACAGAAAAACAATACGGACCTAACACCATGTGCTAAAAAAAATGACCTCAGTAAAGTGAGCCTAAGGTCACTTTGATCAAACTGTCAACATAAGTTTCGACAAATAAGTGAAAGGACAACAGGCAGAACAATACCGCAGATACACACAGAAATACACGCACTGCCAAGGATTCAACACCGAGCTGTTAAGGAAGGATAGCCAGGGCTTTCCATTGGCGGAACTGAGAGCAAGGAGCTCACCGAGCAGGACGTGAAGTGATGCTGTTCAGGGACAATAAGAACAACAGGTTCGGAAAGTCCCACCTTACGGGCCGAACAGCCGCAGCCCGACACCTGGCCGCGGCTTTCAGAAACAACTCCGCTGACCAGCCAGCTCTATTTTCCAAGCTCTTCTCCACGCCGCTCACCCTGGGGCAGCCCCGGCAGGCTGAGCCCCGCAGCGCCCGGCGGAGCCCTGGCCCCGGCCCCGCTCCCCCCGCCCCTCGCAGCGCTCCCCCCGCCCCGAGCT